GCACACAGCACACAGCACACAGCACACAGCACACAGCACACAGCACACAGCACACAGCACACAGCACACAGCACACAGCACACAGCACACAGCACACAGCACACAGCACACAGCACACAGCACGCAGCACACAGCACACAGCACACAGCACACAGCACACAGCACACAGCACACAGCACACAGCACACAGCACACAGCACACAGCACACAGCACACAGCACACAGCACACAGCACACAGCACACAGCACACAGCACACAGCACACAGCACACAGCACACAGCACACAGCACACAGCACACAGCACACAGCACACAGCACACAGCACACAGCACACAGCACACAGCACAGCACACAGCACACAGCACACAGCACACAGCACACAGCACACAGCACACAGCACGCAGCACACAGCACACAGCACACAGCACACAGCACACAGCACACAGCACGCAGCACACAGCACACAGCACACAGCACACAGCACACAGCACACAGCACACAGCACACAGCACACAGCACACAGCACGCAGCACACAGCACGCAGCACGCAGCACACAGCACACAGCACACAGCACACAGCACACAGCACACAGCACACAGCACACAGCACACAGCACACAGCACACAGCACACAGCACACAGCACACAGCACACAGCACACAGCACACAGCACACAGCACACAGCACACAGCACACAGCACACAGCACACAGCACACAGCACACAGCACACAGCACACAGCACACAGCACACAGCACACAGCACACAGCACACAGCACACAGCACACAGCACACAGCACACAGCACACAGCACACAGCACACAGCACACAGCACACAGCACACAGCACACAGCACACAGCACACAGCACACAGCACACAGCACACAGCACACAGCACACAGCACACAGCACACAGCACACAGCACACAGCACACAGCACACAGCACACAGCACACAGCACACAGCACACAGCACACAGCACACAGCACACAGCACACAGCACACAGCACACAGCACACAGCACACAGCACACAGCACACAGCACGCAGCACGCAGCACGCAGCACACAGCACACAGCACACAGCACACAGCACACAGCACACAGCACACAGCACACAGCACACAGCACACAGCACACAGCACACAGCACGCAGCACACAGCACACAGCACACAGCACACAGCACACAGCACACAGCACACAGCACACAGCACACAGCACACAGCACACAGCACACAGCACACAGCACACAGCACACAGCACACAGCACACAGCACACAGCACACAGCACACAGCACACAGCACACAGCACACAGCACACAGCACACAGCACACAGCACACAGCACACAGCACACAGCACACAGCACACAGCACACAGCACACAGCACACAGCACACAGCACACAGCACACAGCACACAGCACACAGCACACAGCACACAGCACACAGCACACAGCACACAGCACACAGCACACAGCACACAGCACACAGCACACAGCACACAGCACACAGCACACAGCACACAGCACACAGCACACAGCACACAGCACACAGCACACAGCACACAGCACACAGCACACAGCACACAGCACACAGCACACAGCACACAGCACACAGCACACAGCACACAGCACACAGCACACAGCACACAGCACACAGCACACAGCACACAGCACACAGCACACAGCACACAGCACACAGCACACAGCACAGCACAGCACACAGCACACAGCACACAGCACACAGCACACAGCACACAGCACACAGCACACAGCACACAGCACACAGCACACAGCACACAGCACGCAGCACACAGCACACAGCACACAGCACACAGCACACAGCACACAGCACACAGCACACAGCACACAGCACACAGCACACAGCACACAGCACACAGCACACAGCACACAGCACACAGCACACAGCACGCAGCACACAGCACACAGCACACAGCATACAGCACACAGCACACAGCACACAGCACACAGCACACAGCACACAGCACACAGCACACAGCACACAGCACACAGCACACAGCACGCAGCACACAGCACACAGCACACAGCACACAGCACACAGCACACAGCACACAGCACACAGCACACAGCACGCAGCACACAGCACGCAGCACACAGCACACGAACTGCGCAGGTTCTGGCATCGAGCAACCCCATCATTGACCCCACCTGCAACACAAGGCATGGGGGGTGAACCAAGGGGATACACAGGGATACAAAGGGGTGCAAGGGGGTACAAGGGGACAAAGCGACGGGTTCACAAGCACACACACGAGCATGATGAATGCACAGCACGCAGGCAGGCTCAACACTCCGAGTCCAGCAAGCCGAGATGGGCTCCACTCTGTTGCACCCTATTGCACCGCACCACACTGCACCACACCGCAGTCCACTGCAGCTGCAATCCAGTAGACCTGGCTGCACCGCACTGTACCTGTGGCGAGCAGAACGAGGTCGCTCAGGAGCAGCACCCCTCCCAGAGCCACCCCCCCTGAGCCGATGGACGCTCCGAGAAACTCCAACCAGCCCTGCAACGGGTAAGAGCACGAGGGCAGAGGAGAAAGGCCGCACAAGAGGCGACCTTTGAGGGTCCCTTCCCTCCCAGCGACACCCCCTCCCTCCCAACCGAGCCGATGGACGCCCCGAGAAACTCCAGCCAGCCCTGGCAGTAAGAGAGAGAGAGACGGGCAGAGGAGGAAGACAACACAGCGGAGCAGGGAGGGGAAGGGAGGGAGAGGGACGGGCCGGGAAGAATGGACGCGTGAGTTTCCAATACACTTAGACAATTGGGTAAAAGCTACGTGCGCCTGCCTGCAGTCGGAGTGGCATAGCATCAGCTCTTGGCGTACGTGGAGCAAACACTTGATGGACACTCAGAGCACGGTTCTGAAGTTCTCCCGCCATCACAGTCTGGACAAGTTTCCACATCAATACACGTCACTGTGATTTGGCAGCCCACCGACACGAATCTGGACCACAATGTACCACTCTCACGAATTTACTGCACGAACTGGCGATGGCTGTAACCCCTCTGGCGAGAAATGTGCATGTGTTTCACAGGTTCGTTCGCACACATCTGGAAACATTCACGATTGGATGTTAGGGTCGTAGGCACAGTTGCAAGCCCTAGACTGTGCGATCTTTGGAAAATCTCAGGGCACGAGTGTCTGTGTGTACAGCGTGTCTTTACACGTCGACCCTGGCCATTTTGTGCCGGATGGCGGGCGGACAAGTCTGGAACCGTGCTCTTAGCTAAGATTTCACTATTTAAAGAGCTTAAGAATACACTTGGTGAACAATTCACGCGCACTTAGCAAACACTCAGCATACACTTAAAAAAAAACTCGGCGAACATTTAGAGGAGAGGAGAGCACTTACTGTGATCCAGGCAGCGAGCGGGCGATATCTAGGCTTGGCTAGTGCTGCTGCCCAGAAATAAAGTGAACCAGCAGTCTGGAAGCGGGATGTGGAGGGGGGGAATGATGGTAGGGAAAGAGAGGAGAGGAGATGAGGAGAGGAGAGAGGTGATGAGATGAGGTCGGGAAGAAAGCAGAAGGAATTGGTATTTGTGAGAGCAACAGGATTTCCAAGAAGCGGTTTTTTAGGTGAGTTTCATTAACACGGGAGTAACGATGCGAGTAAGAGAGGAAGGAGAGAGGGAAGCACTTTTGAGGCGCCTCAAAAGGAGAGAGGGAAGCACTTTTGAGGCGCCTCAAAAGGAGAGAGGGAGGCAGAGAAGAAAACGTGAGAGAGGAGAGGTCGAGAGGAGCAGAGGGGGTAGGGGGCAGAGGGGGATGAACACTTGATGAGGGAATAGAAAGGGGGAGGAAGAAGGAAAAGGGAGGGGGGGCTGGATGGGGTATGGGATGGGGAGGGAGAGAGATTGCAAGAGGAGACCGGGAGGTAAAGGGGAAACGGTTAAGGACAACCCATGAGAGATTGTGAAGAGGCAGAATACAAGGCGATCATGAGCAGAGCATATCAGCCCCCGTGATGTAAGAAATAATGCTTTTGAGTCGACTCAAAAAAGAGGCAAATGAAAAGGCGAGTATGAACAGAGCATATCAGACCCTGTGATGTAAGAAATAATGGGGAAGGATGAGGCGACTTGCAACGCAGTGGGGAGCACGGGGGAAGCCTTAAAGCGCAACTCGTGCGACTCAACAGGGAAGGAGGAGGCAATTCAGCGAGTGCGAGAGTAATGCAGTGCGCGAGTGCGAGAGTAATGCAGTGCGCGAGCGCGAGAGTAATGCAGTGCGCGAGTGCGAGAGTAATGCAGTGCGCGAGCGCGAGAGTAATGCAGTGCGCGAGCGCGAGAGTAATGCAGTGCGCGAGCGCGAGAGTAATGCAGTGCGCGAGCGCGAGAGGAGCCTTAAAGCCTGGCTGGTGCGACTCACGGGAAAGGAAGAGGCGATTTCAGCGAGTGAGAGGGCGATGCAGTGAGCGAAGAAAGCAGTAATCCACCAGAACCACACGACCATCACCGGGCCTCCACTCGCAAAGGCGTAACTGGTGGGACAGTGGGGGGAGAGGAGGAGGAGAGGTTGCCATGGAAGGCAGGTTTGGGAGAGGTCGATGCAGTGGGTGGGCGAAGAAAGCAGACATCCACCAGAACCAGAGCGCCACTACTGGACCGCCACTCGCGAAGGCGTAACTGATGGGGGGGGGGGTGGGGAGCGAAAGTAAAGAAGAATGCGGCCACAGCTCCAAAAGCACCACTCGCTCGTACCACAAGTGGTGCGGGATAATTCCGCAAAATGATACCCCCCATTCCATACCCGTTATAAGACAAATTTGAGTCGATTCGATAAGAGAAAGCACCACTCACTCGTAGTACGGGATAACTCCGAGGAAGACCCCCACCCCTGTTAGCGACACGGCGAACAGCTCGAAGGCGTTCTGATTGGTGGAGGGAAAACAGAGGGTCGGAAGGATGAGAGAAATGCGCATTCGATATGGAGGCAACTTGAACCGCCACAAACGGCACCATTCGATATATCGCCACAAACGGCACCATTCGATATATCGCCACAAACGGCACCATTAGATATATCGCCACAAACGGCACCATTCGACATATCGCCACAAACGGCACCATTCGATATATCGCCACAAACGGCACCATTCGATATATCGCCACAAACGGCACCATTCGATATATTCACCGGGGGAATGGGCGGAGATGCGCGAAACAGACGGCGGGTGCGAGCACAGGCAACGAGAAATTTGCGTTTTCTCATTTAAGTATCAGGTGGCCCGAGTCCGACCTAGTCGAGTCTGACGCAAAAGCGGGACGGCCTAGAGTGGATTCGAACCGTTACAAGTCCAGGGAACAGAGCGATAATGCAGGAGGCAGTTCAAAGGCCCCGCTACAGTCACATAGGAATGGGACGACCTCAAGCCGAGTCTTTTCCAGTTGTGTTAGTCCCGCGAGCAGAGCGAGAATGCAGGCGACAACTCAACGCCCCCGCTACGGTCACACAGTCGCGCATTTTCGCAATTTATCGCGCATGGTCGCACACTATCGCGCATTATCGCACGTGGTCGTACGCACCAGATCGCGCTGAAGGTCTTGTTTGTACCCTAGCTCGTTAAGACGCTTCTCCCCGGAATCCAGCTCCACCGTTAGTAGCACACCGTCGTCAAGCATAATCTCCATCGTCTTTGCGCCGACCTGCCCCCCTCCGCCATCCGCGCCGTCATTCGCGCCGTTGAATGTGTTTTCCACTAGCGCGACGACCGCGGCGCCTTCGAAAGCGCACGCCTCGCGGAAAAGCTCGTCGTTTTCTGCCACTGGCGGCTCGACTGCCGTGTTTTCCTCGACCGTCCAATCTCCGTCGTCCTCCATTCGCGGCGGAAATGCGGGGGAAGCTAGGGGGGAAATCGGAGGTATGGGATGTTGTGACGGCTAAGGTACTAAAATAAATATCCCCGTCTCTTTAATCTCCAACAACCCCTGGAGCAACTAATATCCGGCGGGTTATCCTCTACGCTTGGTTACCAAAGCGGCACGGCGGACGATGCACCGATTGCGCGAGGACCACCAAAGAGCTAGCTACTGGCGAGCAGTGAAAGCATCCGGTTTCCCATCACATGCTGCTGTCGATGTGGCGAACCGGCCAATATCATTGATACTCAAATTATGCCAGGCGCGGTTTGCGAACGTAATCAACTAATATTTTCTCGTTGTAGTAACTACATTTTCTGTTCCATCTAGTTTTAAGCACAATTCAAAAAAAAGTCGCCAGCACCACCTCAAACGCACGCTCCCAGCAAAACAGGAAAGTAACTTAAACGCTTGGATATCAGCCTTAAATGAGTCGCCAAGTGTTTAGAACTATGCCTTCCGCTTTGAGTATCTCAATCAACAAATGACACCGTCCAACAGAGCTTGCTGCCCGCATGCAATTAAAATTAAACTCCATGCGGAAAGGCATCCAGTCCGGATGGCATCAACCTTAAACACCTTATCGCATGACATTTACGTTTGATGCCTCCGTTACATAACATGCCATTCAATGTGGTTTTAGTTTTCTTCTGTTCTAGGTCAGCAGGTACATGGTCGACCGAGGGTTGAAGGTGCCATCGACCCCATTCCGCTGAATTATTCTCGGTCTGCATCCTTCTCCTAATGGTTTTTTTAACGCAATTTGCGCTTGATACAGTTTTTATTTCTTGAGTCACGCCACGACACAATTGTTCATATTTAACTTAGGTAATCACGTTTTGTTTCTGTCACATTTCGGAGGTGTTATTAGCGTGAAAGTGTGATTGAAAAGCGAGAACCAATCAGCGATCAGAAATCGAGGTTGAGTACCGAAGCAAACTTTCTCTGGCATACTTTGAGTATCAATGATATTGGCCGTGTGGCGAACGTCTATTTTGGTCTCCATTTCTCCCAGGATGAGCCCTACCAGTGGCTTGGAATGACGAGGGTTGCTGTGTGAGGGGAGGTGAGGAGAGGAGGGCGGGGGGGAAGGTGAGGGAGGGAGTCGATGGAGAGAAGGAAGGAACCCCTCAACTCGCACGCGAGCATGCCTGAACTGAGCAGTGTGTACTTTCTCCGGCCAATATCATTGATACTCGAAGTATGCCAGAGAAAGTTTGCATCGGTACTCACCTCAATTTCTCAACGCTGATTGGTCGTCGCTTTTCAATCACACTTCTACGCTAATAGCACTTCTGAAATTTGACAGAAACAAAACACAGTCACTTAAGTTAACAATGAACAATTCTGTCGAAGAGCTACCCAAGAAATAAGAATTGTATCAAGCGCAAATTGCGACCACTAGCAAAAAGGATGCCGAATGGGAATAATTCATCGGATCGGGGTCGAACTATCAACCTTCCGTCGACCATGGACCTGCTGACCTAGAACAGACGAAGATTAAAACCACATCGAATGGCATGTTATGTAACAGAGACACCAATCTGAAACGTCATGCAACAAGGTGTTTAAGGTTGATGTCATCAGGACTGGATGTCTTTTCGCATTCAGTTTATTTTTATTTGTCTGCGGACAGTAATCTCTGCTGGACGGTGTCGTTTGTTTGTTGAGACAATCCAAGCGCAAGGCATATTTTTAAACACTTGAAGGCTTATTAAGGGTTAGTATCCAAGCGTTTTAGTATTTTTCCTGCTTTGTTGGGTACGTGCAGCTGAGGTGCTGGGGGCGATTTGTTTTGGAAATGTGCTCAAAAATACAACGTCAGTAAATGTAGTTACTCTACCAGGAAAATGTCGGTTGATTACGTTCGCGAACCGCGCCTGGCATAATCTGAGTATCAATGATATTGGCCGGTACTTTCTCAACAGATGAAGCGACGTGATAGGCATCTAAAACTTTGTTAACAATTGCCAAGTCTCCTAAGGATTTGGTGGTGCTCTTGGGTTCACTCATCATTCCTCTGAACCAAAAACGAAGTCGGACCTGCTCACAACCCTAGATATATGAGAGAGTCTCGGTGGTGATTTTGAGACAGAGTTTAGGTTCTTTTCGTTATCTTAGGCAGAATTGAAAGCCTAATCATAGGAGACCCAGTTTCGCTGTCTATTTGCGTGGGAAACACTATTTTGGTTTGTCTCAAATGTGTTCTAGGGCCCAAGTTTTGTGAACGGAACACAAGGTGGATTGTTTGTGTGTCATCTAGAGTGTTGCCCCTATGGCAGGATCCACCCGTACCAGGCAGCAGTCCGCTGGTGTTTCAGTTCAGAACCAGCGTTTTGATGAATCTGTCGTACAGCGTGTCGCTAAGAAGATCTGTGCCACTGGTTTGGGATTCGTCGGCGGAACAAGGCGCGCGATGCAGCTGTGCTGCTTTCGGGAAGCCCCGCGCAAAGCCATTGTGGCCACAACTTCGCGCATCTCCCACGACGTGCCACGGTGGGGGGAGGACGTGCAGGTTCAGGTGGAGCACAGGAGTGAGGAGGGGAAGGGCGGCAGCATTCCCAATGCAGATTCCACATCGACAGGAGAACGTACGCTTCAGTATGGTGCGGAGAGGCTGGAAAGGGCGTGTATGGCAGCCGAAACAAGGTTCTGTCGTTCGCCACCAACTTGTTCAGTATGGATGTTCAAGGTTCTGTCTTCAACCATCCGAAACAAGTTTGTGCACACACATCCGTCCGCTCGATACTGTACACCCACCATTTCCCGCCAAACGTGTGTGGCTGCACCTCCTCTTGTATGCACAGTCCCATAATCCCATTGATCGATAATCAATACGGCCCAGAAAGAGGCTTTGGGGCGTGTTTCCACAGAACCAGAATGTACGTGTACACATGATGCCTGTTTGAGCCACTCCTGGTTGCCTTGTAAAGAGAGCTTATACGTTTCGTCAATTCGCAGCTAGCAAAAAAGGATTCGTCAGGTGCTTATAGGAATTTTGTAACTTATCCATTGACATTTTGACTTCAGTCTCTTCAGTATCACTTCGGTCTGTTCGTTACTACTGGTTCATAACCACTGCAAGGCGCGCGACGTGCTTGTAACGTCCGTGCAACTGGCTTGGGGAAAAACCTCGGGTGCAGGGTTTCCATCCGGTACAAGGCAAATTCGCATGCAGGGGCTGGACATCATGTGTACATTACAAAATTTTCGCAAACCTTATCGTGCGCAGCTCTGGCTGTCTCCAAGGGGTGTAGTAAACATTTCAAATGGCTATCTTGATTGTGATATTGAGAAAGCTTGCTTTTGTAGCAATTGGCACCGTTCTCATTACAATGGGCTCAGGTACAATGGTTCATAGCAATAATGTTAGTATACTATCACATCCAAAATGTCTAAGAGCTACTATTCTCAAAAGATGACCAGCCTGGGGAGGGTGGGTGGGAATTGAGCTTGAGCGATTGTAAAAATGAGAGACATGGGTGGGGGAAGAATGACCCCAGCCCACATTATATATTCGGAGAAGGCAAATACCGCTCTTCAACGATGCAAAAAATTGCGTTACAGTCAGCCTCGCTTTCACAATATGCAAATTTGAAAGCGATAAACGCTTAGAGTTTTTTCATGTTAACATCTTCAACTTAACGTATTACTAAACCCTAAACCACCAAGTTACTCCAACAAAGACTGCGTTGCTGCCTCCTGACAAAGGCGTGCATAATGTGCGGCAGGAAAACTCAGAGTGTTAGCCAGGCGTCCAGGTGGCTGAAGTCATTGCTGTAGTGGTAGCTCTGCAGAGCATGAACAGTGCCAGCAATCAACTGCCGGCGGATGTTTGACGCCTGCCTGCCAGCCACCGCGAGTGCTACCTCCATTAGCTATATTAGAATTATGAATGATCAGCCGGTTTACCGGTAATCAAGTGCCCAGACAGATGCTTTATGATGCTTGATGCTCTGTTGGATATCACTAGTGCTATGAACAAAAATTGATGCATTGGCATCCAGATGTTAGATGCCTGCTAGTCACCATTAGCGGCAGTTCTATCACATATGAGTGCCACTGCTGCATTGGCTGATGAAAAGGGCCCATGAAAGCTCTCCTTGAATGAGAAGCTCTCCAAGTCATACACCATCTGCACCCACACATCACAGAAACACGTTAATGGTTGGTATAGCCAATTAAGGGAAAGCCACATTGGAATAATCAGGTGGGAACTTCTCGATTTGCAAACCTTGTATTGACAGTGCAGGAAGCTGCATTACCTGCATAAGAATCTGCGCAATCTCCCGTTCTTGATTTAGCAAGCAGCGGTAGTAGACCTGTGAGCATGTGGGCGATGCAAAGGACAATAAGGATCATAATGAGCGATATGGTTGTTGGAGGTGAAGCTTAAGCCGTTCTGCTGCTGGTACGAACGCAATCGTTGTTATCCGATTCAATATCTGGATGTGTTACAGCGATGATGTAACCACGCTGGTCGATTATTCAGCTTGGCTTCCCCAGCTTGCACTTACGGGCGATTGTGCCCTTATGTGTAGTAGCAACCCAAGACTCGCTGGCCAACTGGCAGAGCAAGTTTCCTCTTGTTTTAAATGCATTGGCGCTCTGCTTGGTTTCTTCATTGAAGGCCACAGCTACCCATCAGATGGTATCACGACCAGATTCCACCTACCTTGGCGCATCTGTCGCTGATTCCGATGTTGGCGGGCTCCGGACAATACTCGTTGTCCAGCCACGCCTTTAGGCTCTCCCTCAGCCAATCAGCCTCCTGCATAGCGGGGACCCAGATGAGCAGCAACAAGGATCTTAGAGGGAGAGAGTTATGCATTTTAGAGTGCCGGGAACGGAGCAGAGAAAGGAGTGACATGGCGCGAGACAATTCCGGCAGTCATGACGTTGCGCTTACTCGTTGTGCGACTTCCGGACTCGACCACGTGGCTGGGACCTGGAGATCATCCACGCCGCTAGAAGCTCGGACAATTCGACGGCAGATTTTTTTAGGCAAAAGAGGCGAGACGGCGGGTTGGCTTGTTTGAATGGTGGTTCGCGAAGAAACAGAAGCCTCAACGTTGCGTAGTCGTCTGGATCGGCTGAGAGAGGAGATGGTAACTCGTGAATTGGACCAAGGAACCTCACAGAAAGAGCGGATCGACGGTTCTGATTGAATCTGAGGAGTTTCGGATTTGAGCTGGCTCCAGGGTCTTAGTTGGCGACCATTGCCGGATGTGCAGAAACGAAGCGTACCCCTACTTAGTGTGAGTGACATGGTGATTATCACCCGTATACGATATCAGAGTCCGAGAAAGTTGACCGCGCCTGCAGCCTCACCGCGAGGGAGTTCTCTATAGACGAAGGTGTAATGAGTGAGATAAACGGAGGGAATGGGTGCAAAAACTCTATCCATTCCAGGGAAGCTTGGGTGACATAGGTGTTGCCGAGAGAATTCGCCCTCATACACGAATCCGACGTGGCGCCGGAGCGACGAAAATCTGACATCTGGAAGGCGAAATCGAGAGACATTGCATTTGTGTAACCGATTCGTGAACATCGGAGGGCCAGCGAAGTAAATTTAAATTTTCGCAAAACTGTGAAGCATTCACCGTTTCAGATCCCACAGCACCCATCTTTAAAAGACGTACTCGTCAGGAAGAGTCCAGCAACCGATTTATTTGCAAACCCATCCCCACCAGCACCTTTGCGAGTCCTGGTGGCGACGATACTCTACTACAGTAGTCGCGACTCCCGAGCTAATACTCCACCCAAATATTTTCTGATAGGACTACGACCCGATCACTTCATGTTTCCCACAGATTCCCAGCCGGAGGATGTACGCGAAGACCCTTTCGCGCAACTTACGCTCGATCCACTAGCAGATGTCTCGCCATCCGACGCTGACGTGGCGGCTCCGAACGGAGCAGCGTCGCGGCCAGCAGGAAGGCGGACGTTGTGCGATCGCTGTCAGCGGCCATCGCGCGCGTGTCTGTGCCCTAGTTTACCTCCGAGTAGATTAAAGACACGGACAAGAGTTATAGTACTGCAGCACCCACACGAAGCCAAGAAGCGGCTCGCGACTGCCCCGATTCTCACGCTCACTCTAGAGTCCACACGCATTATAACGGGGCGAAGGTTCCTCGAAGGATCCTCAGCTGAGCTGGACCGGGCGCTGATCCCTTGCTGCGGGGATAGACTGCGTGCCACGTGTCAGGGGGCGAGAGGGGGAGGGGAAACGGAGGCAGAAACGGCAGGGGAGGAAAACGGGCGACGCGGAGGGGAGGAGCGAGAGATTGGGAATGGATGGAAGGCTGGGAATGAGTCACTGGAGAGAGAAAGAGTGGGGATTGGGAGAGGAGATGCGGACTTGGGTGATCAGGAAAGCGAGAGGTCAGGGAGGCGAGGGGACCAGTGGGAGAGGAGATGGATGAGAGCACATGGCGAAAGGGAGGAGGTGGCCAGCACCAGCGGTGCTCCGGTGGCGTGTGGAGAGAGGGGCAAGGGATCATGGGACGGCGGTACTGAGCGCGTAGCGGGTGATGCGGCTCAGCCGGGATGCACAGAGGACGGCATGTGCGCGTGCGGCCACGTGCGGCTGCTCATGTTCCCGGGGGAGGGCGCGCTGCCAGTTGGCGACTGGTGGAGGTGGTATCTGGCCGGGCGGCAACTGGACGCGCAGCATCCGGGGGAGCAAGGGGTACAGCAGCACAGGGTGGGGGAACTTGGAGTGGAGAAGCATGGGATGGAGCAGCGAGGGGAGGAGCACCATGGGGTGGAGAGAGAGTGCGGGGAGAGGCGACGGGAATGTGGGTATGAGAATGGTTGTGGAAAGTGGGGCGAAGAGTGTTGGGAGAAGGAGAAGGAGCGTGGAAAGTGGGGCGGGGAGTGTGGGGAGGAGGAGAAGGGGCGTGGGGAGTGGGGCGGGGAGTGTGGGGAGGGGTATGCTGTGACCCTGGTGGTGATCGATGGTACGTGGGAGCATGCCAAAGAGATGATGAAGGCCAGTGGAAGCTTCCTCAGGCGCCACTGTGCGATGGTATGTGAGAAGGGTAGTGATGCATGCGGCGTGTGAAGGGCAGTGAAGCGTGCAGGGTTGTGAAGCGAGCAGTGCTTGGGAGAAGGGAAGCGGAACAGCCTGATTCCGCTTGCATGGAGAGGTTGAGTAAACTGAAACAGAATGAATGAATAGGCTGAAGCACCAAGCAGCAGAATAGGTCAGTGCTTAATGTGTTGCAACACTGACTCTTGCCGAACGCCTCAGCAGGCGCCTTAGCAGGCCTGCACCGTATTGCACCATCGTCTTGACCACTGTTTCTTCTCATGCCCTGCTGCCCCCTCCATCACTGGAAGGCTGCTTCCTGTTTCTCCTGCCATGCACCATGCACCATGCACCATGCACCACGCACCATGCACCATGCCTGATGCCCCATGCCCCATGCACCATCCACCATGGACCTTGCACCCATGCGCATGCACCCATGCACCGTATGCCACCTGTCCCCCAAATTCTGCCTGTCTCAATGCCCTTCCCTGCTGCTTTTTTGCACGCTGACCACCGCAGGTGGGTCTATCCTTTGACCGCGCATCCCCTGGCCCGCCTCCCAGCCACCTGGGTCTTGTAGTGCATAAGGAGCTGCACACCCATACATGCCACCTATCTCTCAATCTCAGCCTGTCTCAATGATCTGCCCCGCCTCGTTTTCCCTATTGCACTGTCTTGCACACACACCACCCTCCACAGGTGTGTCTACCCTTTGACCACGCATCCCCTGGCCCGCCGCCCGGCCACCTGGGTCTTGTGGTGCGCAAGGAGCCACACAAAGGGGCCGTGAGCACAGTGGAAGCAGTAGCACGGGCCTTGGATGCGCTTGAAAAGGATGTGCCTGAGTGGGATGGGGATGGAGAGAGGGTGGAGAGGAAAAGCAAGGATATGATAGTGCATATGTGTGATAAAAGCAGTGGATTGAATTGGGAAAATGGTGAGAAGTCGGCGTCTTGGTGGTTGCTGTCTGCGCTTCACCGTATGGTTTCCATACAGTTACAACGAATGATTCACTAAGTAGTCAGAGTGTGTACACGAAGGAATGTTTTCACTGAATGGAGGTAGAAAGCCTGTTTGGATTGAATGTTATTCTTTCCAAACAATTAACATTTGAATGCCACGCACTATATATGTAACTCTACACTAGCGACTGTACCACCAGCTAACCAAATGACAAGGTGTCTGTTGAGCCGTGGTGGGAGCTACAGTTATGATAAGATTTGGTTCGCATCAGACAAGACAAGACGTCCCTCCTCCTGCAACCTGTACCGCCACCATAGGTCAAGGTTCTATACCGGGTAGGCTGTTTATAACCATGGTGCAGAAAAATCCATTTTTGTGGTTGGGGGAGGTTGGATCAAGAACGTTCTGGAAATGACCCAGCATGTCAGCTTCGGGGTTCTTGAGGGCCTGATGGGTGGACCTGACGTACATCCACTGTTCTAGCAAGAATACAGTTGATGATTTGCGCAGGCAAAAACTTTGTTTCGCCTTGCCTAAGCCCAGCCCCCCCACGATTCGCTGGAGTGTGCTGTGCCCTGTGGGTGGTCCCTGGTGCTGTCAGGGAACCCAGCCAGCCAAGGTCAGGTCAGGTGAGATGCACCGAGCAATGTTCGTGAATCGCAGAACCACGGTGGATATAATTACCGTACTGAAAACCTTCCTCACCGCACCAAAACTGAAGATTCTTCTCCGACAACAGAACCAGCAACTCTGGCATTGTGCAGGGCGTGGGACACACAGGGCGTCCGACAACGGTGTACACCTAGATAAACGGTGTGATTAGTTATATCCACCGTTTTGTATCGCACAGTTGAGCAATAACAACATAAAGAGGTTGGCATATTTGATCAGCCGCCTCATCTCAATTGCTCTGACTCCCTGTGTGGCTTTTCGATCCACTCAAAAGTCATCCCGTGTGACATTCGTAGAACGCCGCCATTGCATCTTAGGCGAAAGCTCCTCCTCGCCCACCCTCTCCTCCTACGCTATTGTTGCAACCACCAGGTGTTTCGTCGCGTGGTGTTGCAAGTATCATACAATCTTTTCCTGAAAGCACAAGCTTACAATTGCTGCCAACGTTAAACTGTTTTTCCGGCATGTAGTTACTGATTAACTCCTGAGAACCCTGTATACACTCCCCAATGCCGAAATCACTGCTCGCGAAACGTGCATTATGGCGGTTGCGGGATTCCCGGGGTAGTTCCCTAGGCGAAGAAATAGCGACTGTAAACTCGAAACCCCGACGGAAGAGCTTTTCGGGAGACGAGAACGCGGCTCGGCCAGATGCTGATGCAGGTGACAGCAGCAATTCAGCAGAAGACAGCGGAATTGTATTAGTCGCGGGCACGTGGCAAGTCGAAAATGCGGGGAAGTCGGCGGTGGATCCAGACGACGGGACTCCGGGAAATGTGGGGAGTGAGAACCCGCAAAATGCGGCGGGAAGTACGGCGGGAGGCTCGGAGCAGCGAGAGACGTTGGAGATTATGTTAGAGGATGGGTTACATATGACTGTGGAACTTGACTCCGGCGAACGGCTTCTTAACGAGCTGGGATACAAACAGGAGCTGAAGCGACGTCTGGTACGTGCTTATAACGAGGACTTCGGTGATGCGATAACAGCGCAAATCGATGGTAATGAATGAGGTGAGGAAAAAATACTGGAATGCCGGGAATGGGATGGGGAGGGGGCCATTCTCATTCCAACCATTTTTGTATATGCTAAAACAATGCTGCTGAACAGTAGTACAATTACAATCCAATCCCACTTCCGCCTCACCGTACTCACGCTTTCTACCACTTGCAATCCCACTCCCTCTCTCTCCTTCATCATACCCGTTATAGGGCTTCGTCGAAGTGTTTTCTGTTGGCCTCTCCACCATAATAATCTATGCTGGCGTTGTCCCGTTCTACGCGTGAGTAGCTCCCGCCCTTCCACCACCGCCGTGAGACATGCCTCGTGTTGCGGTCGCGTTGTGTGTGTGTGGATGGGGAGGGGTGGAAAGGGTGTGGGTGTGTTGGGGGGAAGGTGGGGGGGTTGTGGGTGCATGGGTGTCCGTGTGTGCGAGTGTGTGAAGGGGCGGGGGGGGGGGGGGGGGGGAGGCGTGTGTGCGAGTGTGTGTGCGCGCGCGCGCGTGCGTGCGTGTGCATGCGTGCATGCGAGCGTGCGCGCGCGCGCGTGTGTGTGCGTCTTTTGAAGGCGAACAAACAAGTCCAATGTGGCAACTACTTGCGAATCTACCACATGCTTTCCGTATCCGTCCTCATCTACAGTGTTTTTTGAACCATTTCGAGGTTTGAGTTTTTACCATCCCCTGCACTCCCATCCTTTTTTCTACAATCCGGGCTGTTTCCTAAGCCTTTAACCAGGCATAAACCTCCTTAGCATTGTATTCATGTGCCAATATGTGTCCGTTATATGAATATTCGTGAGCATTGGCTGCACAGTGGAAAGATGTTGATGGTCCTTCTTTAGTATTATTGGTCTGTACATGATTCCTCATGATAATTGCTCCACACGACCATAACACACATGACCATGACTCACAAACTCACAGCTTTTGAGGCGCCTTCTTTTGTTTTTTAGGCGCCTCAAAAGTTGACCATGACTCACTGCTCCCTCTCTCCCTTCGCTCTACGCGCCCTCTCCGTGCCTTCCTTTGTCTCGCCACCTTCACACCTGTTTGTCTTCCCCTTCTGCTGCCCCCACGCCAGTCAGACGTACATCAACGGCCGGCCAGTGGCGCTCGTGTGGTACTGGTGGCTCACACCTCTTTGACTTCTCCATGCACCTCGCTCTTCTCTCCCGATTCCCTCTCATACACTCCTCGCCTCCTCTGCTCCCGTCGCTATAGCCAGACGTACATCAACGGAGGGCCGGTGGCACTCGTGTGGTACTGGTGGCTCACAGTTCTCTTCACTCACTGCGTTGCCTTCACCTTCGCGGAAGTTTCCTCCTCCTTTCCTGTAAGCCGCGTCTCTGCCGAACTCGTTACTGCATTCCCAAGCCCAGCACCTTGTAAAGGAGCAGAGTACACAGGGGCGACTTTTGAGGCGCCTCAAAAGTCGTCTCATGTCTCACGGTTTTTATTTGTGAAGGATTAGAGTACACAGGGAGAGACGTGCGAGAGAGGACGAATCACAGAGGCTTTCCTTCCCCAAACATCTCCCCTTTTTCCCCAGTTCCCTCAAACATCTCCCCCCCTCCCCAGTTCCCCCACTCCCCCCTCTCCCCTGTTCCCCCAAACCCAATCGTTGCCCAACCTCCCCAGTTCCCCCAAACATCTCCCCCGCACCTTTCCCTCACCCTCTCAAAACACCTCCCCCCCTCCCCACCCCTTCTTTCTCCCCCGCTCGGCCGCCCGCAATCAGATCTCGGGGTCGCTCTACTTCTGGGCGGCAGCTCTCGCCGGCCCAAAGCACGGCCCCTTTGCCGCCTGGATCACCGTAAGGGTCCCCCCCCTCACCCTCCCTCCCTCCCTCTTGCCCGGATCACCGTGAGTGTTTCTCCCCCCATTCATCCCTCTTGCCCCCTTTGCCTCCTGGATCACCGTGAGTGTTTCTTCCCCCATTCATCCCTCTTGCCCCCTTTGCCGCCTGGATCACCGTGAGTGTTCCCCCCCTCACCCTCCCTCCCTCCCTCTTGCCCGGATCACCGTGAGTGTTCCCCCCCTCACCCTCCCTCCCTCCCTCTTGCCCGGATCACCGTGAGCGTTCTTTGCACCTCAACACCCTTTCACTCCTCCCATCCCCTGCTTGAATCACCGTGAGTGTCCTTTCAACCTCCTCCCTCGCTTCACTTGCCTGGATCACCGTGAGTGCCCTCCCTACGTTCTTCCCTTTCCCTCCCCTCGCCTGCCTGGAGCACCGTGATTTCCCTCTCTCTCTTAGTGCCCTTCACCCCCTCCCCCCCTCTGCCTGGATCACCGTGAGTGCCTGTTCCCCCTTAGTGCCATTCATTCATTCCCTCCTCACCCCTGCTGCGTGCCTGGATCACCGTGAGTTCCCTCTCCCTCCTCCCTCGCTTTACTTGCCTGGGTCACGTCACCATAAGCGCCCTTGCGGCCGCACCATCCTACATTGAACCCCTCGCCTGCCTGCCCCAATCACCGTGAGTGTCCGTGTTCCCGCCCATGTGCTTATTCTTCCTATGCCCAAGTGCCAAGTTTTGAGACGTCTCAAAACTCCATGTTCCCGCCCATGTGCTTATTCCTGTGCCCAAGTGCCCATGTGCTTATTCCTATGCCCAAGTGCCCATGTGCTTATTCCTATGCCCAAGTGCCCATGTGCTTATTCCTATGCCCAAGTGCCCATGTGCTTATTCCTATGCCCAAGTGCCCATGTGCTTATTCCTATGCCCAAGTGCCCATGTGCTTATTCCTATGCCCAAGTGCCCATGTGCTTATTCCTATGCCCAAGTGCCCATGTGCTTATTCCTATGCCCAAGTGCCTTGCCAAGTGCTTACCCTCGCGCTTATACTTATACCCTCTTGTCTCTTTCCCAGGTCTGGTCTGAGTAATTTGGCATATCCATTTTTCCACGTGCTTTTTCCCTGATTGCAAATCTTTTGCATATTCATGTATGCATGTGCTTATTCCCGGTACCAAGAGCCTTAGAACGTTTCTACGAACGTTTCTACCAACGTGCTTGTACCTATACCCACGTGCTTTCCAACGTGCTTGTACCTATACCCACGTGCTTTCCAACGTGATTGTACCTATACCCACATGCTTTCCAATGTGCTTTCCAACGTGCTTGTACCTATACCCACATGCTTTCCAACGTGCTTGTACCTATACCCACATGCTTTCCAACGTGCTTGTACCTATACCCACATGGTTTCCAACGTGCTTGTACCTATACCCAGATGCTTTCCAACGTGCTTGTACCCATACCCACATGCTTTCCAACGTGTTTGTACGTATACCCACGTGCTTTCCAACGTGCTTGTACCTATACGTGCTTTCCAACGTGCTTGTACCTATACCCACGTGCTTTCCAATGTGCTTGTACCTATACCCACGTGTCTCTACCCCAGGGCTGGTTGGAGTTCTTTGGCATATCTGTGGGGCTGGGCGGCGTGGCCTTCGGGGGGGTGCAGCTGCTACAGTACACCATCTATGCTGCTACAGGGGGTGCTAATAACGGGGGCTACTTCCTCAGCAGCTACGAGTGCTTTGGGATCACGGCGGGCGTGCTTATAATGGGGGGACTGCTCACCTCGCTGCCGATTCAAGTGATTGGAAGAATCAACGTCTTCACTGCAGTCTGGCAGGTACGAGCAAGTACGTTGCTCAACTTGTTTATTGGGAATTCTCAAAAAACAGATTCTGCTCAACCCTACAAGGAACCTTCCGCTCCCCCCCATCCCATCAAGCTCACCCCATCTCATCAAGCTCACCCCATCCCGCTCCGGCTACCCGCCCCCACCCCCATCCCTGGCTTCCTCCTGCCTGTAACCCCTGACCAACCCAAGGCTCTTTTCTCCCCTGCTCGCCTGCCTTTCTTTATCTCCCGCATCTCCTCCCCCCCCCCCCCCCTTCTCTGTCTCTGCCTCCACCTCCCCCTCCTTCTGTGTCTCTGCCTCCCCCTCCCCTCTCCCCCCTCCCCCCTGCATCCCCAGATGGTGTCAACGCTCGTGATCACCGTGCTGCTGCCGTGTGTGTCTGTCACCATGCAACCTGCCTCCTTCAGCTTCGCAGGCTGCTTTTGAGATTTCTTACCGTGCCCCCCGCACTTGTGTCACCACCCCGCCCACCTCCTTTGTCTTCACAGACTGATTGAGATGTCGCATCCTGCCCCCGTGACCTTCCCTGTGTCGCATCCTGCCCCCGTGACCTTCCCTGTGTCGCATCCTGCCCCCGTGACCTTCCCTGTGTCGCATCCTGCCCCCGTGACCTTCCCTGTGTCCGCAGATATTGCTAACACTCCTAATCATCGTTCGTGCTCCCACTTTCTCTCCCCTCCCACCCTCTGCCCTCTTGACCTCTCCCCTCCCACCCTCTGCCCTCTTGACCTCTCCCCTCCCACCCTTTCCGCCATCCCCTTGTGCGAACAGATAGTGCTCACACTCGTGATCATCGTGCTGCTGCCATGTGTGTCTGTCACCACCCAGCCTGCTTCCTTTGTCTTCACGCACTACCATGTGCAGCTCGACCAGAGCCACCTGCCCAATGCGGTGAGTACCGCTCATCACTGTTCTGCACCGCATGGCACTGTTTGACACTGCATTGCACCACTCTGCACCGCATTGCACCCTTATGCACTGCGCTGTTGCTCTACACCGCACTGCACCACTCTGTCACCACCCAGCCCGCCTCGGTTGTCTTCATCCATTACCACGTGCAGCTGGACCACAGCCACCTGCCCGTCCATGCCATGCCATGCCACAACCCCCCCGACACACGCATCAGGCGTACGCCTTTGTGGTGGCTCTTCAACTCCCCCTCTACGGCCAGTACAGCTACGACACTGTAGCACACATGGCAGAAGAGACAAAGCACGCCGACCGCACGATCCCACTAGCCATGGTCTCATCCCTCTCATGTGTGTGCGTGCTGGGGTGGGGGCTGCTCGTATCCCTCACCTTCTGCATCGAGAATAACGATCGGCTGTTGGGCACGGACAACGAGACGCGGGGCGAGTACCCAGTGGTGCAGATCATATGGGACGTGTTCTTCCACCGGTGAGTGAACGGGGGAGAGGGAGAAGGGTGAGGCGCCAGATGTGTAGAGCATTGGCGCCAGATGTGTAGAGCGTTGGCGCCAGATGTGTAGAGCATTGGCGCCAGATGTGTAGAGCATTGGCGCCAGATGTGTAGAGCATTGGCGCCAGATGTGTAGAGCATTGGCGCCAGATGTGTAGAGCATTGGCGCCAGATGTGTAGAGCATTGGCGCCAGATGTGTAGAGCATTGGCGCCAGATGTGTAGAGCATTGGCGCCAGATGTGTAGAGCATTGGCGCCAGATGTGTAGAGCATTGGCGCCAGATGTGTAGAGCATTGGCGCCAGATGTATAGAGCATTGGCGCCAGATGTGTAGAGCATTGGCGCCAGATGTGTAGAGCATTGGCGCCAGATGTGTAGAGCATTGGCGCCAGATGTGTCGAGCATTGGCGCCAAGAGTGTCGGGTTTGGCTGTGTAGATCATACGGGACGTGTTTTTCCACCGGTGAGTGACTGGGTGCTCATATGGGATGTGTTCTTGCACCGGAGTGCGAGAGAGAGGGGGAGGGTGCTCATATGGGATGTGTTCTTGCACCGGTGAGTGCGAGAGAGAGGGAGGAGGGTGTTCATATGGGATGTGTTCTTGCACTGGAGTGCGAGAGAGAGGGAGGAGGGGCCTTGGTGGTACCTGGGCGGTTGTCATCCTCTGCTGCATGTCCTCGCTGTTCATTCCTCACATTCCCAATCTCCTCACCTCCCCAATCTCCTCACCCTCCCCAATCTCCTCACCCTTCCTAATCTCCTCACCCCCCCCAATCTCCTCACCCTCCCCAATCTCCTCACCCTTTCCAATCTCCTCACCTTCCGCTACCAGCTGTGGCAGCGGCACGGGAGCAGTCATCATCCTCTGCTGCATGCCCCTCTCTTTGCATTCACCACATGACCAATCTTCCATCTCCTCACCCCCCCACTTCCCACCCGCCCACCTTCCGCTACCAGCTACGGCAGCGGCACCCGAGTGAGCAGTCATCATCCTCTGCTGCATGCCCCTCTCTTTGCATTCCCCACATGACCAATCTTCCATCTCCCCACCCCCCTCGTCCCACCCCCCCACCTCCCACCCTCCCACCTGCCGCTTCCAGCTACGGCAGCGGCACGGGAGCAGTTATCATCCTCTGCTGCATGTCGCTCGCTTTCTTCCTTGGCGTTGTGGGTGGCCTCATGGGGGCATCCCGAGCGGTGGGTGGGTGGGTGGGTGGTGCTACTGGCTCTGATTCTGATGTGTTTTGAGTCGACTCATAACACACATGCTACTGGCTCTGTTTCTGATCCTGCTTTTGTGTTGTCAATGCCACACGCCCTGCCATGTCGCTCGCTTTCTTCCTTGGCGTTGTGGGTGGGTGGACTCACACCACCCGCGTCCCGAGTGGTGGGTGTGCACACGTGAGCTTATAAAGTGGTGTGCCTTTGCTTTGACAAACACCAGACTCAAAAGCAGACCCATGCACTCAGTGCTGCACACACTCTCGCGCGCGCCCCCCTTGTTCTTCTTTCTCTCTCTTCACAACCCAAAACCCTAAACCCTGATCCTTGAACCACTCTGAACCACCCTAACCCGAAACTCTGAACCCTAGACCCAAAACCCTGACCTCCTTTTGAGGATTCTCAAAATTGGCCTCCGCCAGGGCCACTCCCTCTCGCGCACGTGAGCTCCCACGCCCACTCCCTCACTCACCTCCTCCTTCTCACTGCTCTTCTGCCCGCCTTGCCTTCATGGCTTCTCAAACTCCCCTCCCTTTCCCCCCCCCCCCCCCCCCCCCCCCCCCCCCTCCCCCCTTCTCCCCTGCCTCTTCCTGCTTTCTTATCCACCTCCCATTCCTTCAACCTCTCATCCCCCTCTTCCCCCGCACCAGGCCTTCTCCCTCTCGCGCGACTCTGGTCTCCCCTTCGCCTCCCTGTGGCGTCGGGTCAATCGCGACCGCACGCCCATCTACGCTGTGTGGCTGTGCTGCGGCATCTCCATCCTCTTCGCCCTGCCTCTCCTAGACGACTCCAGCACCTTCCATTTCATCACCTCCCTTGCCACCGTCGCGTGGGTCGGCAGCTACGCCGTGCCAATCTTTTTTCGGCTTATCCAAAAAGACGAGGATTTCGAGCCTGGAGCGTTCAACCTGGCTGACTATGTCGGTCACACGGGAAGGTGAGTGCTCAGGAAGGCGAGTGTTCGGAAAGGTGAGTGCTCGGCAAGGTTTGTCACTCGTTTTGCGCTTCATCTTGTCACAGTACTGAGAGGCCACGAATCGTGGTTTGTGTCGGCTCAAAACACGACTCATTTTGCTACAGAGAGAACACAGACTGCTAGAGTATCTCGTGCTGGTATTTGAGAACTCTAAAAAACCAGCTAGTATCTCGTGGTCAGCACCGACTAACTGTCATCCCGGCCAGGCTTCTCTTGCCCATTCCGTTTCTTGCTTGGACTCCGTCTTTTCTGCCGACCCCGCAATCAATCATGTGCTTTTGTCCCAGTGCCCAGCCGGCCTTGCAGCGCTTCTCAGTACGTGTAATCAACTGTACACAACTCAGCAACATGCCTCATACCCTCCTTGACATTGTGCCCCCGCCCTCTCTCCCCCTCTCCACACCCAACCTCTCAACTCCAATCCAGGCGACTCATCAACCTTGCAGCGCTCCTCTTTGTCATCTACACCATCGCAACCTTCCTCGTCCCCGTCGACTTCCCCATCACTCCATCAAACTTCAACTATGCATGTGTGGGAATCATCTGCCTCGTGATTTTCTTCTGCTCCTGGTGGTTGTTGGACGCCAGGCATTGGTTTGTAGGCCCGTACCAAAAACAGCAGAGCTCCACGCAAAGAATGTCTAAGTACACTGCTGGACGCTTGTTCATGTAAGAATTTTTTTTCAGCTGACTCAAAAGTCAAACCAAAAGCAGCAGAGCTCCACACAAAGAATGTCAAAGTACACTGCCGGACGGCTGTTTATGTGACAAGAATTTCACTCCTATCCTTGTATTTCGTGTTCTGCTCCTGGTGGCTGCTAAACCTCCAGGCATTGGTTTGTAGGCCCATACCGTACCAAAAACAGCAGAGCTCTGGGGAAAGAATGCCCTCTTCTTCAAGTACTCTGCCGGACGCTTATTACGTTGAAAAGGTGTAACAGTAGATATTAGTTTTTTCTCATGTGCCGGTGTGGTTGGCTGCTGTGGTGTAAGTGGTTCCTGTCCGTAACACAGGAAGAAATGAGGTTTCCCTGTGGCCACATGTGCCGCGATTGTGAAAGCTTTGCTTAGTCCATCTTGCAAAGGCAGCGTGCTTCATTCCAAATGGGAAGTTACAATGTTCTCGTCCATCAATGATCACAATGGGGTGGGTGGTGGGAAAGTAAAACTAGAAATTGGAAATGAAGAACGTGGGTGGAGCTACTGAAATCACGTTCCTCTTTTGTAGGCAAAAGAGGGGTGAGTAGCGTCGAGCCGCTACCTTTGCTGCGTTGGCCACGTCCTCGCTTTCACAATACGAAATTTGAAAAAGTGTTACACTTTTAAAAAATATAATATTGTGAAAGCTTTGCTTAGTCCATCTTGTAAAGGCAGCGTGCTTCATTCCAAATGGGTCTTCTGAGGCAAGTGCATTATGGGTCGGCGGTGCCTCTCCAATGACTGCTGGTGGCTAACAGGCGATGGGGCGATGGAGGTGTCCTGCAGCTGGGTGGAGAGGTCGATGAGTTGGTCTTGGGCGATGGTGACGTAGAGGTGCTTCGCGCCGTCGCTTCGCCATCGACCCATTCGTTTGAAGAGCCGGTCGGGGATGCCTAAGGCAGCTGCTGATGTTGCTGCGCCCTTGCGGAAGGAGTGTGTTCAGATGTGCGTGACGTCCAGCCCTGCCTTCTTGCAAGCCTCGAGGCACCAGCTCCTGATGGTTGTATACGAAGGCGATTTGTCATGCGGCGAGGCTTGTGCCCCTTTGTTGAACACCCGGATCAGTGGCCCGTGTGGCGTATTCGCGAGGCCTACGATGCGAATGAACTCCCGTGTGCATCTCACTGCGCACTAAGGCCCTGCCGTCACCGCGACCGGGATCCACGTGCCCTTGCCTTCCTGGTCCGTCTTGGAGTACGGGATTAGGAGCCACATTGCCGCCCCTTCGAACTGGATGTCGTTCCATTGGAGGGATATCAAATCGGAGTAGCGCATGAATGCTGTGGACATCAAGAGAGGTATCAAGCCTTTCTGATATTCCGCCGGCACCGTTGACTCCAGGAAGGGTCGTGCCATGTTGTGCACCTGATGGAGTGACACGGGCTCCTTGGTCCTTGTCGGGCGGGGGCCATGTCGCTTAGCAAACTCTCGTACTTGCAGCGTGAACGGGCCGTTCGTTGGGGATGCCTCTCCGGACATCCGATGTGCGAAGGCCACGGCGGAGCATGTGAGGCTGATCGCTGATATGGTGGCCTTGTTGTTCAATGCGTGGACTAGGTAGAGTGCCAGCGTGAGGTCCGTTGCTGGCAGAAATACCAACTTGACTTGAGTGCAAAAGTTGCGAAACTTGAGCCAGTATGGCTGGTATATCTCGATCGTGGACGGCGTGCGAACATGCGTGATAACTCGTAACACTTGCTTTTGAAGCTTGGTCAGCAATCCTGAAAGAGTTAACATTCGAATATCAGTTAGTGTATTTTACACGCAATGCAATGATTGGGCTATGTGGCAGACCGAGTCCGGAGAATGGCATTGCGTGCGAACCAGGTCGAAGGCACTGGCTTCCTTGAGCGAGACGCAAGCATGCGATCACTTCTAGGGCCCATGTTTGTGGGGAGGGTTGTAGCAGCGTCCACTATGCTGCTCCCGGCCACTCAGGGACAACAAGTGTCAACTCGGCTTGTGTGCGCCTGGCGTGAGAAAGCGTGGCCGGGATCAAGCCGGGGGGCGGAAATGCGAAGCAGCGCTCGCCTGTCCATGAGATCGAGAACGCGTCGATTGCGGTAGCGCTTGGGTGCGGTATTTTGGAGCAAAATCGTTGCAGCTTCTTGTTGTGTTTGCAGAGAGTAGTCGTCATGGTCCTAGATTTTGGACAGTTCGTCCGCATGGGCATTTAGCTCCCTTGGGATCCATTCGATCGCTAGACGTGTGTGGCTCTTGAGGCAGAACTGTATGACCGCTTGACATGTCAGTGTCAGCCGGGGTTGGGTGGACCCCCCTTTGCGCAAGATGAACATGACTCCTTGGTTGTCCACGCGGACCAAGACATGGCCATTGGTGATGTGGGCCGCAAATGTCTGCAGCGCCCATAGGACTCCCTCGAGCTCCCTTTGAGTGCTTGAGGTTGGGAGGAGCTCACTTGGCATACTGGCGCTTGCCTCGTACGAAGCGTCAGCAAACTTTGTGAGGATGGCGCCCCAGCTGTGAGCGCTCGCTTCGACGTGGATCACCGCATCGAATTGATGGCTTAGGTGAAACGGGGCACCGTTAAATTGGTCAAAGTGCAGTTGCCAAAAAATGAGCTCCTCGATGGCGGCCCGTGGCAGCCGGATCCTTGAGTGCCAAGACGCCGCTGCCTCAATCAAATGTAGCAGCTCGTGGCTGAAGGCGCGTACCGTCGTGCCCAATGCTAGGGACATTGAGCTCAACATTCCGGTGATACTAGCGACTTGCCAAATTGGGACTTGTTGGCCGCGTTGCCCTTTGCACATAAGCGTGTTGAGCGTTTCTAGGAACTGTGCCCGCCGTTCGGACCTGATGCTGAACGTGCCGCACTTCGTGTTAAGCTCCATCCCCAAAAACCGTGTTTGATGGGCCGGCTGGAGGCGCGATTTCTTCTCGTTGATCACAAAACCTGCCATCCCCAAATCGTGTAGAACCTCTGTGCATGTCTTGCGCGCTTGCTCTGTGGAGTCGCAGAGGAATAGCATGTCGTCGACATATGGTACTACACGCACACCACGTGCACGCCAGCGTTTGGCCAATTGCTTGATCAACTGGGTGAAGACGAAAGGTGCTGTTGCCAATCCGAACGCCAGAGCTCGAAAGCAGTAGAACTCGCCTTCAAAAGGGAAGCCTAGGAACTTCCAGCATGAGGGGTGCATCTCGACATGGTGGTAACCCGATTTGAGGTCGATGGTGAACAGCCAGTCGTTGCGTCTAATGATCTATGAGACCCGATTTAAACCTTCGTATTTGAATTTGGGAACTTGAAGTTGTTGATTGACCTTGCGTAGGTTGAGGATGAGGCGGCATTTGTCGCGTTGTTCCACCACGTTGAGTGGACTTATGCACGAGAGTGCGGTCCGCGAGGAGACCTTCATTGCCGCGCCTGATGTGATTAAATCGCGAATGGCCTCACGAGTGAACGTCGTGTGTGCGTGGACACCTGCATGGTTTGCGGTTTCAAAGGGTGGCGATTCGGTGTTCTTCCAAGGAAGCCGATAACCCCTGGCAATGATTGAGATGATGAAACTGCTGTCGCACCACGATATCCACCAGTGGAGTTGGTTCCGCAATCGGTTGCGCATGACCTTCACCGTGCCGTCCGTGACCGCGTTCTTGTACGGGTCCCACTCCGCATCTTGCCCCTTGTCATCTGCCACTGCACGTTGGGGGCAGCCGGGGTAGGGTGTATTAGGTGATTAGCCTTTTGGTCATGGGGACGACCCGTGGGCTTATGAATAAGGTATTGCTCAACCTTCCTTGTCTCCTTGTTTTTTTTTTTTTTTTTTTTTTTTTTTTTTTTTTTTTTTTTTTTACGATCCCCTACGGGCTGCCGCGCATCCTTAGGCGGGCCTCTTGGCCGGGATGGGGGTCTGGATTTTTTTTTTTTTTTTTTTTTTTTTTTTTTTTTTTTTTTTTTTTTTTTTTTTATCACGAGCCTCCTCGTCCGTGAGGCCTCACTCCATCACCCTCTCTCTCTCTCTCTCTCTCTCTCTCTCTCTCTCTCTCTCTCTCTCTCTCTCCCTCTCTCTCTCTCTCCCTCTCCCTCTCTCTCCCTCTCTTTCATTCTCTCTCTTTCTCTCATTCTCTCATTCTCTCTCTCTCTCTCTCTCTCTCACTCACTCTCTCTCTCTCTCTCTCTCTCTCTCTCTCTCTCTCTCTCTCTCTCTCTCTCTCTCTCTCTCTCTCTCTCTCCCCGTACTCTCCTGGTTTCTTTCCCATCTCAGTTTCCTCCTCCGTCCTCCTTACTCTTTCCTTCTGAGTCATAGGGCTGTTCATGCTGCAGGGTGGCTGCCTTGGTTCAGCTTTCTTACTTTCCCATTTTTTATTTTTTATTTTAACAATAAGAAGATAATTTTTATTACTTGCCTCCACACATGGGTACATGGCACGTACTACCCCCATATCCGCCCTTCCGCCTAGGAATTTCTACGGCCTTCAGCCCCTAGCTCATGCTAGCTACCAACTACGCACCCCCGGTGCTCCCACCTACGCCCCCCGGCATAGTGGCAAGGGGCGCCGCCCCGTGTGCCTCCTCACACCACGGGTGAGGGGCCTTGAGCACCTCGCCCTCCCATGGGGCAAGCATTCGCCATATGGCCGGGCTGGCCGCAGCGTAAGCACACCCCTTTGAAGCGGGGTTCGTGGCAGCTTGCCGGCGGCATGCCCTTGCCTTCCGTTTCGCCATCTAGAGCGGGCATGCGGTTGCCGCGAGTGTAGCCGGCCCGTGCGCGTTTGAGAGCCGCCACATTGGCGACGGCGAGCTTGTACGAGCGTGAGGTCAAAACGCTCTTGGACTGGTACAGCTGAAAACCATCGGCAGCTTCGAACCTCGCCTCGTCCGCCACCAATAGGACTTCGAAGCGCTTGTGGATGAGCGTCTCGATTTCCGCGACATTGGTGAGGGCTCTTTCTATGTCGCCGTGCTGGAGCTTGAAATTGACGTGCTTCAGGTGCGCCTGGATGGCAGAAAAGACCTCCGCCTGATCGCGCACACCTTTGCGCATGAAGGTGGTGGATGCGGGTGTGGGGTGGAGGGGTGGGAGGGAGGGTGCGGGTGCAATAATAGGACGGCGGATAATGTTGTAGGGGGCCTCACCATCTTCGTTCTCTGAGTCGTCGCTGTCGTCTTAAGCGGCGATCGGCGCATGTGCGGGCGCGGGAAGTGGTACGACACTGGTCTCGTTGACGCGAGCTGCCTTGTTGGTGCGAGGGGCGGTGACTTCCTTCTGATTTTCATTTTTTGCAGGTGTTGAAATGTAGTCGGATGAAGTTGCGATTGCAACCAGCGCGTTGTGCGGTAACATCGAGAGCAGCGCCTGCATTTGCTGCACAATGAGGGACGCGAGGAGGTTGACTGGGGCAGTTTCCGCTGAGGCCGTTGCTTTCTGCCGCTTCTGCAGAGTGGGCCCCGGTTGACCAGCGTCGCCGTCCGCGTCAGCCCCCGTTGACTTGACCGGACCGCGCGGCTGCCTGGCAGCCACGCGCTCGTCAGCAGGGGGCACGCGCGACTGTTTCACAGTGGCGCGTGCTTCTTCAGAGGGGCTCGGGAGTTGCTCCCGAGCAGAACTTCGACTCCTGAGGGGCCCTCGCCAAAATTGTCCTCAGCATGGCGTTTTCCGCTGCGGTCGGGTGCCCCGGGCACGTTCGCGTGCTCCGAAGTATCACCCGAGGTAGTCGTCTTTTCCGCCTCTCGATTAAGTGTAGTGTTGGTGGGAGCCATACTCGCGAGGTTGTGTTGAAGAATGTCGGTAAGAAGAGTTGACGGGGACTTGAACCGCGGGAGGGACTGTGTCTTCGCCAGGATGAACGAGAACTGTCGGAGAATCATCCTCTGTTGCATCCCGTGGCTTGCCTTCTCCTTCCTGGACTCACCCTCGCTCCCTTCTTCTTCTGAGCTCTGTTCCTGTGATACCTTACCTGCTCTGCCTCAGCCACTACCAGAGAGATACTGGCTCCCACACAATGGCTGCCCTCAGTGGCCTAGTCACCTAGCTGCTGTAGCGTTAGAACGGCAACGTAAATCCACTATTTTAGGCAAACAAACAAGAGAACGAACTAAACAGTGAGTTCCTAGCCTATTTGAGCAGCTACCTCGTGCCGTGCAGTTTCCCGTAAGGCACATTGGGCTCCGCCCGCCAGGCTTCAGGATTGGCCCTTCGGATTGCCCAGGGCTCGCCCTTGAATCTGTCCCACCCTGCGCCTCGCAAGTCCCTCGGTCACTACTTCGCGTCACTACCCACGCACCAAACTCACCTTCTACAGTGCTTCGAATAATCCTACTACACCTACACTAGCGAGTAACTGAATATATTGCTAACAACAATCTATTCGGTGACAGAACTAGGAAAGTAAAACTATAAATTGGAAATGAAGAACGTGGGTGGAGCTACTGAAATCACGTTCCTCTTTTGTAGGCAAAAGAGGGGTGAGTAGCGTCGAGCCGCTACCTTTGGTGCGTTGGCCACGCCCTCGCTTTCACAATACGAAATTTGAAAAAGTGTAACACTTTTAAAAAATATAATGTGTTGCAAGCAAACTCTAGGGTCAATAGCTGTGTGTTCCAGTCGCTGACGTCGTCTTTGCAAGCTGTTACACGGTGATCTAGTAGTGGAATGCGGTGTCACACGGTGCGATGCTAACTCGACAGCTAAGGTGGGAAAGTAGGTATGGTGAAGTTGTTGGAAACAATCGATCCTAAAAACGCTTCTATCGTGTCGAAACACCAAGGCACAAGCGAAGCAGATCATATCGAGGCACCAGCGAGTCAACCCTCGAAGGTTGAAGTAACCGCTGGAGGTTATCATCGAACCGCCACGCCCTCGCTTTCACAATACGAAATTTGAAAAAGTGTAACACTTTTAAAAAATATAATGTGTTGTAAGCAAACTCTAGGGTCAATAGCTGTGTGTTCCAGTCGCTGACGTCGTCTTTGCAAGCTGTTACACGGTGATCTAGTAGTGGAATGCGGTGTCACACGGTGCGATGCTAACTCGACAGCTAAGGTGGGCAAGTAGGTATGGTGAAGTTGTTGGAAACAATCGATCCTAAAAACGCTTCTATCGTGTCGAAACACCAAGGCACAAGCGAAGCAGATCATATCGAGGCACCAGCGAGTCAACCCTCGAAGGTTGAAGTAACCGCTGGAGGTTATCATCGAACCGCGAGTCAGTGACCTTTGACCTGACAAAGGCAGCGCGACAGCAAGGACACACAACTGACTCGATATTGAGCAGTTGCCCGAGTCGCACTGTATCGAACCGCAACAGCTAACAGTAAGACAGTTATCATTCATATCCCTTCGTATTCCTTGTACTCTTAGGGCGTATTCCTATCCTCCTATCAAGAAAACCTCCTATCAAGCTCTCACTGGAAAATTCCCTAAACCCAAAATCTCTCGCTACTTTTACCAGGCAAAATGTACAATCTTGATAGGAGGTTTCTTGATAGGAGGCCGTAGGAATACGCCCTTATATAAGCCTTTGTACTTGTTTGTTTCAATTAACTTACTTTGCCCTCAACGCAAGGTGGTTCAGAATCTTCTCCTTAAAACCCTTCCGCTACTACATCACTTGGCACAGAATTTTCATATTGAGAAAGCTTGCTTTCTTTTCCTTATAATTTGGCATCGTTCTCATTGCAACTGGCTTATTACAACATATGCATCGTTCGTAAACACATGCTAGTACATGCAAATATTACTAGCTATGGAGTCGTCCGTCCAAGCAGCTGTGGTCTTGTAGTTGGTCCGGGGTGGGTGGTGGGGATGTTGATTGAGCCGTTGGAAAACGAGAAACGTGGGTGGAGGGAATGAACTCCAACCCACGGTTTTTGTAGTTGGAGAAGGGCGTTTAGCGCGCTTCGACGCTGCCAAATATTCGGTACAGTCAGCTTCGCTTTCACAATACACAATTTTGAAAAACATCAATGTGTTTAAAAATTATAATCATACTAAAGATCCTAAGGGGCATTCAGCCCAACAGAAGTTAAGTATCAATTGAGAGTACTTGTGAGGTAGAAAATACAGAAAAGTTTGGCAGCAAAACCAGAATATGCAAATCATCTCATACTTTAAACAGGGCATGCTGTGCTGAGCTGGAGAGCAATTTACTATGCCTTCAACCATATTGAAATCTACTGAATAAAACATATAATTAATTACCGCGCTTCAGTACCCTTCACACTGACCACCGAACAAACCATGTGTAACCATAATAAATCCAGCTGCCCAAGCGGTCAATTGAACCACTTGGCAGCACCTGATTGGCTGTGATGCTGGTTCCCTGCTCGGTTATGGAAGGGCCCTATGAACCAATGGCGGGCGTCGAAAACCCACCAGGAGATAAAGAAGGTTACGGTTACCAGCAGCACACAGCTGGACCAATTGAAATTGGAGACGGTTACAGGGAAGTACATGGGAACCATAGAGGTGGCCATGGTGTAAAACACAAAGAAGAGGGCTCCGCCATTGATGCACCTCCTGGTGGGTGCAGAGGAGTGGAGAGGGGTGAAGAGGGGTAGAGACGGTTACAGGGAAGTACATGGTAACCATAGAAGCTGGCCATGGTGTAGAGCACAAAGAAGAGGGCTCTGCTGTTGATGCACCTCCTGATGGGTGCAGAGGGGTGGAGAGGGGTGGAGACGGTAAGAGGTAAGTACACGGGAGCATGGAAGTGGCCATGGAGTAGAGCGCGATGTGGAGCGCCCCACTGTTTATGCACCTCCTGATGGGTGGGGCGATGGAACAGCAATACACAAACAGGTTGAGAGGGGTGAAGAGGGGTGAAAATGGTGAGAGGGAAGTGCATGGGGTGCATGGAGGCGGGCTATGAGAGTAGTAATTTCAAGATGGCAGGCTATAGTGTAGAGTAGAGCACACAGACGGGGGTACTCCCAATGCAATCACTTTCGAGAATTCTCAAAAGTGAATGGAGCACACAGATGAGGGTACTCCCAATATGAGGGTATTCTCAATCACTTTCAATATGGCGGGTCATGGTGTAGAATGGAGCACACATATGAGGGTACTCCCATTGCTCCCCATAGTATCACCACCCCACATTCCACCACCCATTAGCGCTCTCACCTGCCCACACCCCCCACGTATTTGGAGGCGCCTCAAAAGTCATTAGCACTCTCACCTGCCCTCACCCCCCATGTATTTGGAGGCGCCTCAAAAGTCATTAGCACTCTCACCTGCCCTCACCCCCCATGTATTTGGAGGCGCCTCAAAAGTCATTAGCACTCTCACCTGCCCTCACCCCCCATGTATTTGGAGGCGCCTCAAAAGTCATTAGAACTCTCACCTGCCCTCACCCCCCATGTATTTGGAGGCAAATCAAAAGTCATTAGCACTCTCACCTGCCCACAACCCCCACGTATCGCTCCAGGCTGAATGCTCCTGGTTTAAATGCCGACCGGGGCTGCACCAAGCGCACCACGAGGGGCACGGCATAGCTGCCGACCCATGCGACGGTGGCGAGAGAGGTGATGGCGAAGAAGGGGTGGCGTGGAGGAGAGGCAGGCAGAAGAGGATAGCAATGGAGCACGTGAGAGAGCAGCACAGACAACAGCATACCCCCAACAAGCGTGCTCTCACTCACCTGCCCACGGCCCCCACGTATCTCTCCAAGTTAAATGCGCCTGCCTTGAAGGCCCCTCTGGGTTGGACCAAGCGCAGCAGCAGCGGCACAGAGTAGCTTCCCACCCATGCGACGGTGGCGAGAGAGGTGATGGCGAAGAAGGTGGAGGTGGCGTGGAGGAGAGGCAGGCAGAAGAGGATAGCGACGGAGCACGTGAGGAGAACCGCGTTGACTGGCGTGCGGTCGCGGTTGACCCGTCTCCAGAGGAAGGCGAAAGGGAGACCAGAATCGCGAGACAGAGAGTAGGCCTGGTGGGGGGGATAGGGGGAGATGGGGAGAAGGAGAGATGGGGAGAAGGAGAGATGGGGAGAAGGAGAGATGGGGAGAGGAGGGGGAGGGGCGGGTAGGGGAGGCAGGGGGAGACAAGGGAGTGGAAAAAGGGGCCTTGGAGAATCTGGGAAGGCAAGGCAGGCAGAAGAGAATAGTGATTGTAAAAAGTGAAGATCACTTAAGAGAGAGAGTCCACTCACCGCTCTAGACGCCCCGATGACGGCAGCAAAGGCGGCAAAGAAGAAGGAGAAGTAAATGAGGGTGGTATTTGGATGGGGAGTGAATCAGCAGCCGAAGAGGCTTGTAGAAAAACTCACAGCTCTGGAAGCCCCGATGACAGCAGCAAAGGCGGCAAAGAAGAAGGAGAAGTACATTAGGCACAGCAGCACCACTGCCCCCGTGCCGTTGCCGTACCTGGTGGGGAGAGAACGCACAGCACAAGGGGGGGAAAGAATGCAGAGCATATGGATTGGGTGGTGAGGGATGAAACACACAGCACAGACAAGTTAGAGCACGCGAGTGCAAGGCTGCGGGGAAGAGGGAGAAACACATGAGGCACAGTGATTACAGCACATAGCACCCCTGCGCCTGTGCCGTTGCCATACCTGGTGGTGGTGTTGAGGGGAGAGGAGAGAGAACGAGGAGCGTAGATAATAGCATGGGTGCAGTGGTGCTGTGTGCCTTGGTTTCGAGCACTGAGGTAAGTGAATGAGAGCCACAGCAGCAGCAGAATTGCTCACGTGCTGTTGGAAATTCACCTGAGGATTCAGCTGAGGATTCACCTGAGCCCTCACCTGTTGTAAAAGACCTCCCAGATAATCTGTACCACTGGCTGCTGCCCCCCTGAGGCATTAGCCTCGTCAAGAAGCGTCTCTCTATTGGTAATACACGCAGTCAGGACGACAATCACCGCCCACCCCACCACAGTAGCTGCCGAGAGACATGAGACCATGGCGGCCGGCACGGTGACATCGGCGCGTTTTGTCTCTTCTGCCATGTGCGCTACAGTGTCGTATGCGTAAAGGCCGAATAGGGAGAGCTGCATTGCCAAGACAAAGGCGTATGCCTGGTGGTGGCGGAAGGAGGGGAAGGGAGGAACGGGGACAGGGGGGAGGGAAAGGTGAGTTTTTGAGGCGTAGAGGCCAAATAGGGAGAGCTGCATTGCCAGCACAAAGGCATATGCCTGGTGGTGGTGGGGGGGGGAGGGAGGGGGAGAGGGGAGGAAGGAATGTATGTGGCTTTTGAGGCGTCTCAAAGGTCGCTACAGTGTGGTAGGCATAGAGCTGAATAGGGAGAGCCGCATTGCCAGCGCAAAGGCGTATGCCTGGTGGGAGAGAGAGAGGGGTGAGGGGGGAGAACAAGCCGAAAGAAGGGTCCTTCTAGAACGGTGGAATCCATCGCTCCACTCATTCATCAACCCATGAGCAAGGGGGGCTGCAGGGAGGTATGGTGTGCGTTGTGCCTCATAACCTATTCACTCACTCCCACAGTATGAGGAGGCCTTCACATCATTAATGTACTCACATCGTTGGGCACGTGTGTGACGTCAAGCTGCACGTGGTAATGGCCAAAGATGAACGAGGCGGGCTGCAGTGTGGTGTGGTGTGGTGGGTGCTGTGTGCCGTGTGCTGTGTGTGCTGTGTGTGCTGTGTGTGCTGTACGTGCTGTGTGTGCTGTGTGTGCTGTGTGTGCTGTGTGTGCTGTGTGTGCTGTGTGTGCTGTGTGTGCTGTGTGTGCTGTACGTGCTGTGTGTGCTGTGTGTGCTGTGTGTGCTGTACGTGCTGTGTGTGCTGTGTGTGCTGTGTGTGCTGTGTGTGCTGTGTGTGCTGTACGTGCTGTGTGTGCTGTACGTGCTGTGTGTGCTGTGTGTGCTGTGTGTGCTGTGTGTGCTGTGTGTGCTGTGTGTGCTGTGTGTGCTGTGTGTGCTGTGTGTGCTGTGTGTGCTGTGTGTGCTGTGTGTGCTGTGTGTGCTGTGTGTGCTGTGTGTGCTGTGTGTGCTGTGTGTGCTGTGTGTGCTGCGCCTTGTGCCCCATTCACTCCAGCTCACATCGTTGGGCACGTGTGTGACGTCAAGCTGCACGTGGTAATGGCCAAAGATGATCGACGCGGGCTGCAGTGTGGTGGCGACGCAGGGGAGGATGATGATCACTGCCAACACCACCACGATCTGGTTGGGATGGGAGGCGAAGGGGGGATGGGTGGGCTGGGAGGGTGAATTGTTGGCGAGAAGGGAGGTTGCAGGGTGGTGGCAAGGCATGGGAGAATGATGATCACTGCTACTACCACCGCAATCTGAGTGGAAGGGAGAGAGAGACGGGGGAGTGGGGGGGGGAAATGATGGGCCATGGCGATAGGGAGAGAGGCTGCAGGATGGTGGTGAGGCATGGGAGAATGATGATCACTTTTGAGTCGACTCAAAACGAGGTGACTTTTGACTTTTGAGTCGACTCAAAACGAGGTGACTTTTGACTTTTGAGTTGACTCAAAACGAGGTGACTTTTGACTTTTGAGTCGACTCAAAACGAGGTGACTTTTTACTTTTGAGTCGACTCAAAACGAGGTGACTTTTGACTTTTGAGTTGACTCAAAACGAGGTGACTTTTGACTTTTGAGTCGACTCAAAACGAGGTGACTTTTGACTTTTGAGTCGACTCAAAACGAGGTGACTTTTGACTTTTGAGTCGACTCAAAACGAGGTGACTTTTGACTTTTGAGTCGACTCAAAACGAGGTGACTTTTGACTTTTGAGTCAACTCAAAACGAGGTGAGTTTTGACTTTTGAGTCGACTCAAAACGAGGTGAGTTTTGACTTTTGAGTCGACTCAAAAGGTGGTGAGGCATGGGAGAATGATGATCACTGCTGCTACCACCGCAATCTGACTGGGGGAGGGGTGAAGAGAATTGGGTTGCTGCAGTGGAGGGAGGTGGGAAAAGAAAGGTGGTGGGAACGCAGGGAAGGGTGATGATCATCAACAGCGCCCCACCATACCTCTTCCACCCACCCCATCATGTCTCCCATCCCGGCATGCCTCTCCCACCTCCCACCCCCCACCAGCCACATGGCACTGAACGCGGCTATGCGTCCAATGGAGAGCACGGGGAGCAGGTTGGAAAACACACATGCCAGAATACCTCCCTCCCACACACCCTCCCACACACCCTCATTCCACTATACCTCCCACCCACACACCCTAAATCCACTATATTTCCCACCCACACACCCTCCACTATACCTCCCACACACCCACACACTCTCATTCGACTATACCTCCCACTCACCCACACACCCTCACCCCACTATATCTCCCATCCACCTCCCACTCCCTCACCTGCCACACGGCACTGAAGGCTGCTATGCGTCCGATGGAGAGCACGGGCAGCAGGTTGAGCAGTGCACATGCCACTATTGACGCCACCGTGATGCCAAAGCACTCGTAATTGCTCAACAGATAGCCGCCGTTGGAGCCGCCTGGAGTGGGTGGGCAGACATGGGCAGGGGCAGGGGCAGGGGTGGGGCGTTCATGAAAGCACTACTGATGGAGAGCACGGGCAGCAGGTTGAGCAGTGCACATGCCACTATTGACGCCACCGTGATGCCAAAGCACTCGTAATTGCTCAACAGATAGCCGCCGTTGGAGCCGCCTGGAGTGGGTGGGCAGACATGGGCAGGGGCAGGGGCAGGGGTGGGGCGTTCATGAAAGCACTACTGATGGAGAGCACGGGCAGCAGGTTGAGCAGGCCACATGCCACCATTGATGCCACCGTGATTCCCAAGCACTCGTAGTTGGTCAGCAGATAGCCACCGTTGAACCTGCCTGGCTGAAAAGCAAGAGGAGAGGAGGACAATGGTACACAATAGCACCTGTGACAACCTAGGTGATGTATTGTGGCGCATTACATACGGAGCACGTTGGTAGCAGTGTATTTGTGTGCATATTGCGTACCTGAAGCAGCATAGATGGTATACTGTAGCAGCGTATCAATATATATATATATATATATATACGTATGTATGTATCACATATGTATATACACATGTATATACATCGGTATATAGGTGAACGATTATACTGTGTACCTGCAGCACCATATATGGTGTCTGTAGCAGCGTATGTGCATAAATATACACACTATGTATAGATAAACGTATGTGGCTTCCTATTCTTAGCACTTTAACAGCATGTACAGTGCACCTGTAGCAGCATAGATGGTGTACTGTAGCAGCTGTACGCCTCCAAAGGAGAGCGAGCCGATGCACACGGAGATCCCAAGGAACTCCAACCAGCCCTGGGGGAACAAGGGGGGAGGGGAGGGGGAGGGGGAGAGACATTGAGATGTTGAGATGGAAGGGGGGAGAGACATTGAGATGTCACAGGAAAAGGAATGCCTGCACTGCACCACCAATGGAGCGAGAGCCGATGCACTTGAAAATCCTAAGGAAATCCAACCACCCCTAAGAGGAGGACAGGGGGAGGGGAGAGGAGAGGGGAGAGGAGGACAACAGGCCTGCTTCTCGCTACAGGGGGGAGGCGGTTACTGCAAGCCAGGCAGGGGCGGGGAGCAGGGAGGAAGGGAAGGGGAGAGGGCACACGCGGTGATCTAGGCAGGCTGGAGGGGGAAGGGGGGGGGGGTTGAATGTAGGCGTAGGGGAACAAGGAGGAACAGGATCTTACGGTGATCAAGGCAGCGGCGGGGGAGGGAGACTTGAATAGGGAGTCGAGGAGTCGGTTTTTGAGTCGACTCAAAAGCCGACTCATCACGCAGGGAGTCGACGAGGAAAGGAACTCACACACGGTGATCCAGGCAGGCAGGGTAGAGGAGGGATAGAATGAAGGGTGGTGAGGGGAGAAGGGCCCCCACGGTGATCCAGGCGAACAGGGGAAGGGAAGGGAAGAACGTCGGGACACTCACAGTGATCCAGGCGGCAAAAGGAGGGAGGGAATGAATGAAGGGTGCTGAGGGGAGAAGGGTGCTCACGGTGATCCAGGCGGCAAAGAGGGGGGAGGGAGGAGTGAATGGGGAGTTGAGGAGAGGGAGGGCACTCACAGTGATCCAGGCGGCAAAGAGGGGGGAGGGAGGGTGAGGGGGGGGACCCTTACGGTGATCCAGGCGGCAAAGGGGCCGTGCTTTGGGCCGGCGAGAGCTGCCGCCCAGAAGTAGAGCGACCCCGAGATCTGATTGCGGGCGGCCGGGCGGGGGAGAAGGGGAGGGCGGGGGAGAAGAGGGAGGGGGGGAAGGGAGGGAAGGGAAGGGTGGGGACAGAAGGGGGAGGAGAAGGGGAAAGGAGAATGGGGAAGAGGGAACGGAGAAGGGAGGAGAAGGGGAAAGGAGAATGGGGAAGAGGGAAAGGAGAAGGGGAACGGAGAACGGACAAGGGGAGGAAAGCCTGAGATTGGGGGGGTGGGGTGGGGACTTGAGATCATTCATTGTGTGTGTGGTGGGGTGGGGACTTTGGCCTTGGGGTTGAACAGGCTACCATAACTATATGGAGAATTGCGGAGATAAGCATATTTGAACGAGAAGGACTTAAAGTCCATGCAGCAGTTGAAACCTCGCCGCACGTGCTAAGGAGGGTACAGGGAAGGCTGAGGCACGCATGAATGAAGGGGCTTCCAGGAGGTGTGGTGTGGAGGAGAGTGTGGCAAAGGAGAGAGAGCGACGAGATGAGTGAAGAAGGGCGACGAGATGAGTGAAGAAGGGCGAGATCCAGGCAGGGAATGCATGAGGAACGCACACAACAATCGGGCGGATGGATGCTTATAGAGTAGGGTGGTATTTATTAGAGTTCTCGAAAGACAGAGCAGGTCGTACCGGGAAGGCTGAGGAGATTTCAGCAAAGGAGAGAGCAACAAGGTGAGTGAAGAAGGCCGTTATCCACCAGTACCACACCAGAGCCACAGGGCCGCCGTTCAAGAAGGTCAATCTTGAAACGCAGAGGGGAGAATGGGGAGAAAGGGATGGGGGGAGAGAGAGAAACAGGAGAGTGAGGTTTCACCAGTACCACACCAGAGCCACAGGGCCGCCGTTCAAGAAGGTTAGACTTGAAACGAGCAGAGGGGAAGGAGGGAAGAAGGGGAGAGGAGACAGGAAGAAGGCCGTTATCCACCAGTACCACACCAAAGCCACGGGGCCGCCGTTCAAGAAGGTCAATCTTGAAACGCAGAGGGGAAGGAAGGGAGAAAAGGAAGGAGGGTGAGAATCCATCAGTACCACAACAAAGCCACGGGCCACCATTCAAGAAGGTCAGACTTGAAATGAAAGGGGCAGAGTGGGGGGAGAGAGAGAGAGAGAGAGAGAGAGAGAGAGAGAGAGAGAATGGGAAGTAGGCAGGAGGGGAGCTTGAGACAGAGGGTCCATCCAGAGGCTAATAGCTATTCTCAGGCGATTCCTGAGACTAGAAAACACAAGAGCTACCAGGATGGATGTGGGGAACTCAGAAAGCCGTTTTCTTGTATGAAGGGCACTCACGAGTAGAAGGGCACTGTTCCTGCGTAGAAGGTGACTATAGAGAGGCCGATAGAGAAGACTTCAAAGAAACTCTGTGCAGGGGAATAGCGGAGAAGGAAGAGAGCGCACCAGGTGGTTGCACGGGGGAATGTGGGGGGCGGGGATTGGGGGGGTGGAAGGGGTTTTGGGGGTGGGGGAGAGGAAGTGGGGGGGTGTGTGGGAATACAAATGAGCAATTTTGGCAAGGAAAAATCTGCTTCCATATTGTTACTTAGAAAGAAACAACGACTCCTCCCACGAATTTTCTACTCAAGATGATTCATATGATTGCATAACCTAGTACTCATTTCTTACCCTTGCGCGATCCAAGGCGATAAACAAATTGCTTGCGAATCATTTGTTTTATCGCGAGTGAAAAAACAAACTACAAAAATAGACTCGACGTTTGACCTTAGCCCGCGACGGCCAGTTTTGGGGGGAGCGGATGCGGAGGGAGGAAGTTAGATATACCCCCTCAAAAAAAAAAAAAAAAAAAAAAAAAAAAAAGACAAAAACGTGCAGGCCAGGAGGCTGGGGACGGGGGGTGGGGAAGAGAGGTACGGGAGAGTGGGCTACGGGAGTGGCCAAAATGAGAGAAGGGGGGATTTTGGGGGGTGGAGGCAGGAAGTTGTAGAGGCGAGGCGACCACTCTTTGAAAGGCGAGTAGCGCCGCGGTCGTTAACTAAACGAGGCAAGCAGGAAGGATGGAGCGGGGAATTCAGTGGGGAATGCTTAAGGAAGCGCAGGGATGGGAATGCAGGAGGCTCCTGGAACCAGAAAGTGACTGAAAGTATTGACTCACGAACGATGCTTTTGTCAATAACCGTAGCTTGTGTCGCCCGAGACCCGCGATTGGAATTGAGACGACGGACCGCTTCAAGCTCGCGAGGTCCTGGCATATTTCGTTGCTATGCTACTATCTCAACCCGGGACTTGAAGACGTTGTGGGATCTTATAAAAAAAATTCAAAACATGTAGTGTACCACTGTAGGCTTCCCAGCAGCGTGATTCACGCCAACTCTCGAAGCTTCATCCAGTTCCGCCCTTGAAACCGCACCACTCACCAGCCGCCGTCGCAATTCCTGTTTGTATCCCAACTCGTTAAGAAGCCGTTCGCCGGAATCAACCTCCACTGTCATTTGCAACCCATCCTCGAGCATAATTTCCAGCGTCTGCTTCGTTCCCTCCGAATTCATCCCGGATAAGTTTTGCCGCAACGCCCGGCCCTGCTCTCCCGTCTCGTCACCGCCCACTGCGGCGCCATTCCCGGCGGCGCTCGCAGCGAGGCCGCGTCCGCTTCCGTGGTCGACGTTCCAAGTGGCGCCGGAAGACGCGCCAGGGCTACCGAACCCGACCGCTCCGCCGTGAATCACGGCGGCGCCTTCTGCGCTTCCCGCCCGCCATTCGCCACTGTCAGTCGCGCCGGTAGTACTTCCTGCGACGCCGCCACTGACGCTCTCGGGGTTTCCGGTTCCGACGCCGCCGCCGGCGGTGGCGCTGGTAGTGGGTCCGAGCACTTGCCACACGTCAGCAGATGCGACGAGGTTAAAACTTTCGCGCTTTGCCGCGGTTTCGCCATCGTCTTCGCCGCCACGTGGGGTCGCTGCGTCGGCTTCGCCAGCGGCTAGACCGCCACTAGTGGGTGGAGGAGAGATTTGTTTTTTTCTAAAAGGCATTGCTAGAGAAAAATATATATACAGTCAGAATCCCGCGAAACTACTGTTAGGAGGAGAGCTTGATATATTGCTGTACATAAGGTGCGTGACTAATTTATTCCCTACTAATCCCACTGGTCCTACGGATGTGCGTCGAAGTGCTAGTGTTCCTTTTACCTGCTTGACGGGTGTGTCTGATAGCCGCAGAGCAACTGGTGGCGAGGTGTTTCTCTGTTGAATACGAAAAAAATCAGGTGGTGTTTAGAAATGTTGTTCCCAGAGTTATTCGCTGCTTCTAACACGACCTTAGTCTCAGTCGACGGCGGAATTGAAACATTGGTAGCAATACCAACCCTAGGAATGCAGAATGTGCGAGCCACACGACGAAACAAAAAGCACTGAACGCTGTCTCATTTGCAGCTTGTATCGATTGACACTTCCACTCGCGGTTGAAAGGGGGATGCCTGATGTTGGACAGGGGCGCCTTATGTGTTCTCGTTAGAATCACTTTTGGATTCTCCGCTTTCGTTCTAGAAAACAAATACATTGTGGAACGAGTCAACCAGGACGCACCGAGATATAAGCCTCCGCTTATATTCTGCACCGTACTTTCCTATCAGACCCATGTGGAGCAGAACAATTATGATAAGTACACTGCACGAACAATGGGGGGAACGACATTATCCATGATTCCAGAGGGCGACACCGTATCCTCTGATGTTCACGAACAGTGCAGATTTGCTTAGAGAGTGCAGATTTTGCAGGCAGCTGACAGCCTTCCAGCTGCCAGCCTTGCATTTCAGGCCAGCGTTTCAATTCAAGGTTCTGCTGCGCTTGTTATCCCTCAGGGTAAGTAGCAGCACCAAAGGGGTTCTTTCCCTACTTAACCAATTACCGATGTAGGTTCCATGATGTGCAACGCCATTGAATATTCGGATGAAACTCTGAAAATGTAAACAAGGAATTTTGCACGTGAAGGTGGGGGAAATCCCATCCCAACGAGTCCCGAAAGACATCCCTGATTCCCACGTGTCGAGATTAACGCGGCAGGGCAGATATGGTGGTGGTGGAGTATGGTGGCGTATCTCACACGACGCTGTATCCAGCCTCCTCCACTAGGTCCTTCCAAATCAAATTCAGGACTTGCGTTGCTTAGCAAGTGTCAACATCTGTACTCGTTGAACCAATTGACAGCAGCATATCATGGTTGATCACTTCGCTAACATTTATAAAAAGGACATAGGACCTCAAGAAGAGTGCTCTAATGTTACAAGTGCAGTGGATCGAGGTAGCGAGGACTGCACTAAGGTGTCAAACGAGTACAAAATGTGAGCGAAGGCATAAACGAACATTTATACGCAAAACATGCGAACGGTAACGCGGTGCGTGCGAGCTGGCATCGAGGCTCGGGCTAGTCTCGAAACGTAGGCCGACACAGCCGGGCCAGCGGTGCATGGTTGGTCAAACAGTGCGCGCGAAGTCGACGAAGCCCTGTTTGCAGTAACGGGCGAACAACGGCTTCTGCTGTACGCGATGTTGCAGGTCGCGGTAAGGAATTTCGAAAGAAATCCTTACACTACCACCCCCCCCCCCCCCTCAAAAAGCCCCCTCCACTACGCGAGTGCGTGTATATCGCGGAAACCCCGGCTCCTCGGGTACACTTGCAGGGCAGGGTGGTGTTCGATGTTGGCCAGAGGCACTCAGGTATCCTCAGTTGGCGTGCAATCCTTCCAGAGAACAAGGAATTCAATCCTCCTGTTGCCTCTAGGGTGTCGAATCCGATGGTTCATGATTTTTTCGGGCTTGATGATCGGCTCGGTGATCAGCTTCGATGCAGGGCGAGTCATGGAGGATGGGCGGTGATGAGGCAATTGGCTTGTGGTCGGAATGTGGGGGCGAAGCAGGCTGACGTGGAATGATGGGCTGATGTACCAGTCTGTCAACAACAATAGATGGGTGGTTACTGGTGTAATCATGTGGCTGATTTGGAAAGGTTCACAGTAGCGGGGTCGGAGTTTTGGTACATCTGGCAGTGGTAAGTTTTGTGTGTCGAGTAGTACGTAATCTCCTGACTGGTACATGATTGGGCAGCGGTGGCGGTCAGCGTTGCGCTTAGTGATGACATTGGTATTTTTAATTGCTTCTGCGGCTCTGCTACGAGCAGCTTGCAGAATCTCGACGAATTGTTGAGAGCGTGGCGTAGGGTTGTCTGGACTCGGTGTCATGGGCACTGTTGGCTTCTGCCCGTAGTTCAGGTAAAACGGGGACTGCTGCGTCGTCGCTGATGTGGCGTTATTGTGCGCGAACTAGATCAGCGGCAGCTGCTGCTCCCAGGTTGTCGGGTCATCGCACGTGGCACGAATCAACTGCTCCATCGTCTGATTTGTCCGCTCTGTTTTGACCATCGGACTCGGGGTGGTACGACGAGCTGAACTGTAGCCTTGTCCCGAACTGCTCCCAAAGGTTCCTCCAAAAGTTGCTGGTAAATTTCGTGTCCTTGTCGCTGATTATGGCTGCTGGCATCCCGTGCAGGCGAACAACAGCTGCGATGAACAGGCGAGCGGTTTCCTCGGCTGAGATCGACTTCTTGCACGTAGCGAAGTGTGCCATTTTCGTCAATCTGTCAACGACGACCATAACCGTGTCGTTACCCCCAAGGTTTGAAGGTAACCCCGTGACGAAATCCATGGTAACCTGCTGCCAGGCGCGCTCGGGCAGTGGTATCGGCTGCAACCGACCCGCCTTTCTCTTTCGCGAGCTCTTCATCACCTGACACGCATGTCACGAGCCCACGTGGTGCTGTACGTCGGTCAACAGCTCCGGCCAGTAGTAATACCACTGCAGTTGCTGTCGCGTTTTTTTTGCCCCGAAATGGCTCGAGGTAATTCCGTCGTGTGCCTCCTACAGTAACACTTTCCTCAGTAGTGAGTACTCGGGTACCCAGATGCGGCTGGTGCCTGCTTTTACGTAATAGACTCCCTTTGCTTCTGCGCTGTGAATTTCCGGTCGTGCAAAATGGGTCGGCGCGGTATTCGTGGGTGAATAGGCCTTTTTGGGTTGGTTTGAGCGAGTAGGATGGCGTGGAGTTGGGCGGTAGGACGTGTGAGTGGGTCGGTTGTAATTGATGCGCCTTTTTAGTACGTGACTGTGTAGTGGAAGTTCGGCTCCAGATAGTCCAGCCAGCGGATCTATCGCGGATAGAGATTTGGTTGGGCGCGGAGCTACTATAGTGGTCGATCATCTGTCCGTACTGTCACGTCTGCTCCGGTGAGGTAGCATCTCCACACTTTTAACGCGTGCACGTTAACATTTCGCGGTCGTTTATCGGGTAGTTACGTTCGGGCGGGTGAAGTTTGCGGAACTCGTATGCGATTGGCTGGAGGCCGTTCTCGAAGTCT